GGGCAGGTGGCAGTGTCCCTGGGCACCCCGAGCGCCTTGGCCGGGGGTTTGGGCACAGGGTGGCTTCAGTGCAATGGCCAGTGGGGTCCCGCTGATTTTGCTCTTTCCAGGTCTCTGAGGATGGCGTAAAATGTCTCTGGCACCGCAGGAAGCTCTCCAGATGGCCCAGGAGGCTCTGGTTTCGTAGCGTGTCTTATGAGGCACGTTACCATCTCGCTTCGTTAGGTAAGTGTTGCCCTGCAGCGTACGTGGGATTCAGGTTCCTAAATGAACAACGAACGTTTGGATTTTCCTGCAAGTGGTGGGCACTCACGACATTGAGGTGGGTTATGCTGGAGGCTGGATGGAGGAGTTGATGGTGATGTATCTCCAGTGCTCTCCTGCCATGAGGCAGGACCCGGGGTACTTAAACTTATCCCTGACAGGCAGCTACTTAATTGGCTCTTACAGATTATTAAATTCATGGATTGCCTTCTCCCCCTCTCCAAGGTAACCCGCTTCAATGCTTAGCTATCATTTATGGTTAGAATTTTTCCTTAATAGCTGACCTCAATCTCCTGTGTTGAAACTAAGCAGATTGTTATCGCGCACATCCACGGCAGACCCGGAGAACAACGGATCAGTGTTCTCTTGTCAGCAGCCTGGTGGGTGTTCGCAAGTTGCCACCCACAGTTTTCTCCAAACTGCGTGAACCCACTTCTCGTGGTTTTTTTGGTTCTTGAACTCTAAAACTTTTCCATCATCTTGGACTGTTAAACGCTGAAATAGGCACAGTACTCAAGTGGAGATACCGTTCGCTTTGAGGAAGTGGGGTAATTATCTCCTTTGCATATGGCATTTTTCTTAAAAACATTCTAGAATGGTCTTATTTGGTGACATTCTCAAATTACTGAAATATTCAATTTGTGACGCACTGTAAGCCAAATCCTTTCTTTGCTATACTGCTACCCAGTAAATTCTTCCTGAAGAGGTATCCATGTTTTGTATTTTTTTTCTTTACGAAGTAAAGAATTACTTTGCACTTGTAAAGTGGACTTGTTTGAGAAGTTATCTTGATCATCATAACATAACTTTTTCTATCTAATTTAGGCTTTGAAATACATTATTCTAATCGCCTTCTTCCAAGTTAGGCATCATCCACAAATAATTAAAATACCGAGTAGTGCCAGGCCCTGCACACTGTGATAAATCCTTCCAGTTTGACAATCTGACTTTCTCAAACGCTTCATTTTTTTCATGTTTCCTACTAAAGCTGCAATTAATTCTGTGCCATGGCTTTTCAGCTGAACCAAATCCTGTGGAGAATCTTAAGTGAGGAAACCATCAGTTCCTTTGAATTGGCTTCTGTGCACAGAGTAGGGATTGCACACAGCTCTAAAACTAGAAATGTGTGTAAAATCAGACCCTTCTGGAGTTTTGGTGCCTTGCATATGGCTTCTGGATGTCCTGGACACCTGGTTACAGACTACGGAGAATGACAATTGCTGGCAGTTTCCCAGTCTCCCTCTTGAAGCTGTTATGCTATGTAGAGAGAAATGAAAGGGCTTCTCTGGAGACATCAGGCAAATCATGTAGCCCATTTTTTAAAAATACTGAAATGAAGGTTTTCTGTCTCTTTATTTCCTCCCGGTAAGCCAGTAATTTCTACTTAGCAGGACACTATGAAAATAAGTGCTCCTAAAGCATTATCCAAACAATAAAAATGTCCCCAGAATTACTGTAGATATTTTTAAAATTATTATTTTTAAGTATTTAAAAATGCATGTATATTTTTGTATGGATATTCAGCTATGTGTAAATAACACTGTGCAGCCACAGGCAGCTGCCTACTGCTTTCATCCCTTCTACCCAACAAACAGGAATGAGCTACAAGGTGGCTTGTGAACTCTGATGTCATTTAGGAAAAGGAAAAAAAAAATCACTGCTTTAGAGGATGCTGAATGAGCAGCATCATGTAAGTCATTCATACGCTATCGTACACCTTATGCTTGAGGTAGATGGGTCTGTCCCTCTCCCATGTTCTAAGTTCTTTTAAATTCTTTTCTCATGCATTTCCTGAGAAAAATCTGTTTTGATCTTAACTTTCTTCAAAATTGCATTTGCTTTTTTTAGAGGGCTTTCTGGAATAACCATACAAATGCCTAGTTCTCACCCGCTTAATACAGGATCAGATTTATAGATCTGATTTAATGCTTGGTTATACTTGTAAGGGATTACTTTTTCTGATCACAAATGCTCTGTGAAGCTCTGAGTTAGAGGTGATATTTTGAGAATTTTTAATACTAAAGTAATTTGAAAATATTCTGAGAAGGAGCAACCTGTTGATTAGAATGAAAGGACTGGTCTTGTGATGAAAATGCAGCAGACTAAGCCTATGTAAACAGCAAAGTTTTTTTTTCTCTTAAAATTGCATTTCACTGTGGAAACATCATAGACAAAAAAATCTAGGGTTGGGGCTAAGCATAGATAAACATTATGTGTATATTGACTTGACTGGAAGGAAGAGTCAAGCATTGGCAGGGTCATAAGCTATATAATCATACAGGTGTTGTCCTCTATCTTCTACAATAATTTTTTTTCTTTTAATTCTGATTTATTTAGATGTCTCATATTAAAAATCATGGAGCTAGGAAAGGCGAAACTTCTGAGAACTGGCCTTAATGCCTTATACCAAGCGATTCACCCTGTGCATGGTATTGCCTGGACAGATGGGAAACAGGTGATACTAACTTCCTTACACCTTCATAATGGAGAACCAAAATTCGGTGACTCAAGTGTTGTCGGTCAGTTTGAGCATGTCCATGGACTCTACTGGGGCCCGTGTCCTCCTGATGCCCCGGCTCTGCTCGCTGTTCAACATAAAAAGCACATCACCATTTGGCAGCTCTGTTTTAATGGTGCAGAAAGAAATAAGCTCTTAGTTTCTCAGATATGTGACATCAGCGAGACGTTTCCAGTGCTCCCCCAAGGCTGTGTGTGGCATCCGAAGAAGGAGATCTTGGCTGTGCTGACTACGCGGGATGCCTCTGTCTTACACTCTGTGCATCTCAACAACTCCAGAATTAAAGCAGATATTAAAGGCAGCGGTCTCATCCACTGCGCTTGCTGGACCAAGGAAGGCAGTCGCTTAGTAGTGGGGGTAGGCAGTGCCCTTCATTCTTATATTTGGGATGATGCTCAGAAAACACTGAACGCTTGTGCTTTTTGCCCAGTCTTTGATGTAGGAGGCTACATCTGTGCTGTGGAAGCTACTCTGAATTTCCAAGTTGCTGTTGCCACTGAGCTTCCTCTAGACAAGATCTGTGGTTTAAATGCTGGTGTTGCGTTTGAAGTTCCAGCGAGCATCGAAACAGAGTCCTTCCCTTCACAGTCCAGCTTGTGTGGTGAGGAAGAGTATTCCATGGATGGGGGGAAAAAATCCCAGGACTCGGAGAAGCCCTTGTCTGTTGTTACATCTCCTGTGGATCTGACTCACATACTTTCTAGTAAGCAGGGTGCTGATTCCAGTCCTCTTCTCCATCTGAGGCCCAAGGACTACCTCACGGGAAGTGGCCAAGATTCTTCACATCTCATCTTGGTGACTTTTGAAAGAAAGGTTACCTCTACCAAAAAAGTTAGCATCCCAGGCATTCTGGTTCCTGATATAATGGCATTTGACCCCAAAACTCAAACTGTATCGGTTGCCTCTAATACTTGTAACGTTATTTTAGTCTACTCACTGACTTCATCCAATTTACCCAATATTCAACAAATTCAGCTAGAGAAAAATGAAAAACCAAAGGGTTTGTGCTTCTTGACCAATAAATTATTACTGATACTAGTTGGAAGACAAAAATTCACTGACCCTGCGTTTCTTCCCTCTTCAAGATCAGACAAATATATGATCCGATTGATGATTAAGGAACTAATATTTGAAATGGGCCCTTCAGCATCTGCATCAGTTAGTGGGAGCTCCAGTTCGAACCTTTCAAATATACTTCATGATCTCTCCACAGATGTTCACCCTCTCAGCCGTGGACTCTTGATACCAGATCATGCTGCCATTCGGTCCCCTACCAGCAGAAGGAAACTCATTGAAGAAATTAAGAGTCCTGTTTATGAACAAAGCTTGCTGAACAAGGGTGGCCTCAAAGATAAAAAGATTTCCCTGAATTTTCCTCCAGCTATTGAGTCTCTCGATGCCGAACCAGTTAATCGGACTGTGGCGCTGTCTGCTGCATCACTGGCGTTTGCTGACAAGCCGACATCTCCAAAAAGGCAGGCAGATGCAGTTTCCAAAATACCAAATTCTTACAAGAATAACCTACTAAGTGAAAAGGAGGCGAGTTACTTTTCAAAAAATGTAGAAAAACTGTCTGGTAACTTCACAGAATTACAGCATCATCTCTGTGAGTTAACTGAGCTGCTAAAATCTGGGAAGAGAAACCTTCCAGCGTACCCATCTTCTCAGGAACCCTCTTTTATTAACATCACCTGCCAGGTAATTTTAATTTTGGAAGCCTTAATGATAAAACCTGTTAAAATCTGTTTATGGATGTATAGTCTTTGTATGGATTTAAGGCATGAACTCGTTGGATTATGCACAGGGAGGATGACATCCCGCGAACGTTTAGTATGTGCAAATTTGGTACATGTGAATGATCTTGCTGCATGCAGGTGAATCCGATGGGAGTCTTATTTGGACTTATTTATGCTTTTACATAATCCTGGCTTGCTTTTGCTGTCCTTCCTCCCTACCCTTCCTGTAATTGTATCTCAGTCCCTATTTTAAAACCCTGTATTTTTATTTTTCTCTGACAGGAGATAGAATGAGGGAAATATTTCAGATAATATTTTAAACTAAACTTTATCTTTAAAATTATTGCCATTTCAGGTGGATGCTGTAGTAGCGCTTTCTTGCACAGCTGTCTGTACCAGCGGTAAAACCAGAGCATTTCTGGGGATAAAAAGACCATTATCATGTAACGGTCAATAGGATTAGTTTTACACCCTGTTCCTGCAGGTGGGACTAATGTTACAAGTCCCATTGCTCTGCAGGCTTTAGTGTTGTTAAAGCAATGTCATGTTCAGGCGTGTGCAGCCCCCTGTCCCCACCACGCACTGGCTCTGACCCTGGCAGTTGTACCTTCTCCTGCACAGGGGCTGGGGGACTCCAGAGAACCCACGTGCAACGGTTCCGTTGCAGGTCATGTTTTTCCTAGGCAACTTCTGAAGCTTTCTGTTTAGAAATATAGACAAGGGAAAATTTCCATGTACAGGAATTGGTATTGATCTCCCGTGGTGCTGTGAGGACAGCTGAAATAATGGAGACTGAAGCAAAATGGAAAAATGCTTTGGCTCTGAAACTGCAATGTTGCTAATTAGTACTGAGAGCACCATCAGAGAAAGAAAGAGACCTTTAGGGACACAACAGATAATTCCATTAACGTAGCTTAAAAACAGATTTAAAATCAAATTTTATGTGAAAGACACTTTCTTGGCTGAAAGAAGATACTTCCACATCTCACACTAGAAAGCGTAAGCTACCCGATAATCAAAACATGGCACAAATCTGCTGGGTGTCTTCTAGAAGTCAGATTAATAAACCTTAAGTCAATATTCAAAGTCATCTAAACTGACGTTTTCCATGCAATAAACTCTTATTTCTCAGCTTTATTATTGCAAAAAATATTATTCTCAACTTCTGTAGCATTAAAATTGTAGGTTCTAGATCATGCCCTCTCTGTCTTCGTTATTTTCCATTGTAAACACTTTATAATTGTAATAACTCTAATTTTTCTAGCTCTCTGAAATCTTAGTTCTATATGGGGCATTACTCTGAATAGTGAAAGTTTCCCTCAGTAAGACGCTTTTTGGATTTTAAGGCTTGGGACGTGATGATCAGGGGTGAGACAGACAAGCCCTTCTGATTCTTCAGTCTGTTCCTTGTCCCAGACATCTTTGGGCAGGAGTTCTCACCTCAAGCTGGGGATCAGGGAGGGGGAAGGACAGAAAACCTGCTGCTTTACAGACTCCCCAGGGAAATGTCCCTCCGGGGTGGTAGGATGAGAGCCTGGATTGCGCTGTGGATGAAGCTCATGATTTCTTCGGCAGCAGTGTCTGATTTCCACTCCTGTTGTTCTGCCACATGCTGAATCAGCACAGTTACCTGCTGCTGTCACTGACAGACTGTCTCTTTGAGGGCTGAGACTGTAAAGTGTAAATGTTGCGAATGGGTCTGAGTGAATGGAGCTACTTTCTGTAGATGCTGCAGCAGTCTGTGATCCTGGTTTGATTAATGCCATTTTGACATCACTGTGTAAATATACATCACTGTATCTAATGATTCTTTCTTGAATTTACAGAAGCAGCTTTCCAGAAGTGATTCAGATGAAAGACGAGCTGTTATTCTTTGTGGTGGTAAACTCCGGTTAAATATAGTCCAGCAGATATTCAATCTCTCTCTGGTAGAAATGCAACACGGTATGTTGTAATTATCCAGTAATTCAAACACTTCAAACACATGTAACATTCTCAGCAGCAGGAGTATGCATAATCCCATCTGGAAAAAGCCCAAGGAATAAATAATGAAAGATTATTAATAAAAGTTTGCTCATTTGTTTCATAAAGATTCTTCTCTGGGCTTTTACTGAGAAGAATCTTTACAGTATAACAAAAATGAGCAAACTGTTATGTATTGATACCCCCTTATCAGGTAGCTGGTTAGATAGGAAAGTTACTGTCACCATTATTTTATTTATATTTTCAGCTATTCTAAATCAAGAAGTCCAAGTAATGAGGAGGTTAGAGTTGACTGGTGGGTTTGGAGTACAGTTTTCTATATTTTAATCTGTAGTTTCAGCATCTGATCTCCTTTAAGAAGAGTTTGTAGAGGAAAAAAAAATACAGTTTCTCTTACTACTACATAGATTCTGTGTAGGATCTTCCAGCTACTTGCCTGCTGTGTCTGCTGCCTGCCTACCTGCAGATGACTGGGCAAGTATCCCAGACTTGAGGCTGCTGTTCTTGCCACTGTGCAAGTTTTATTTTTTCTTTAAATAGTTACTAGGATATGGTTAGTACTCCAATGCCTAGATAAAACTGTAGTTCTATCAGGTCAGTCTTGAAAAGGTTCTTACTGCTGTCTTACGTTAGTTTAGTAGTTTTCCTATTGCAGGATCTGTCACCTGTACTGGAACAGTGACTACTTTAATAATGTGGCACAACCCAGAAACGCCTAGTAGATACACCTCGTACAAAAGCAGGCAGTTTTGTAGATGTTAATGACTTAATTTTTCAAACTGGAATTTTATTTTGAGCTCTAAGATTTGAATGACTTCTCTTTCAGGCAAGAAAAATGTCCCCATTACCTGTGTTAGTTTTGACTTTGCCTTTTTATCTTAAAAATGTAAACTTAACAGAACTGGTTACCCAGGAGTGAGAAATCATCATGCACAGGACTAGCCTCACTAGATCAATTTTAAAAGCAAACAGTGTTACAGTAGGGTTCTTTATTAATTTTACATATATTACAAGATAAATAGGCAAAGTGGGAATGGTATTTTCAAATTCCTGACTTGTATTGATTTTCAAGTTTGGTCCAAATGAGATATTAAGCCAAAAGATTAACGGGCTGCGTGCTTTTAAGCTACAATCGTCTCATGACCTTACTTGTGACATGAAGTTACATTATGTAACTGTACAAACAGCTGTAAATGTTTCTCTGAATTCCCTCACCCCCACAAGCTCTGTTTTGTTTCTTCATCAACTTGATGGATGCAAGTAGGAAAATTTTCTGGTTTATATGAATTGATAGAAGTCGGTGTTTCTGATTCAGTAAACAGTTTCAAATGGTAAAATAATGATCATGATGATGTGAAGTCAGACAGCAAACAGACCAGAGACACAGGCTTTGTACAGTATTCCCTCCTCGTATTTAATGGAGTTAATTATATTCAAATTGCATAACAGAAGCTGTTTCTCATTTTTTTTATTTGTCATTTAACTTAATAAATGCCTGCTTTGTACAGCATCTGCAGAGCTTAAGCAATGTGAAGTAGCTTGTGCATACCTAATTAAAACCAAGCCTAGAAGCTTATGAATTCTGTTCAGAATTTCATTCTTCCTCCTTATTTGAAGCATGCATTGATTGTAGTCTTGTCTCCTAGTGGCAAAATTGGTCAGAAGCTGTTTCACATAGTTGTTAACTGTCCTTTATTTTTGAGATTATACAACCTGTATCTCCCTATACTTTTTTTTTTGCTAGAAAAACTGGAAAGGTGCAGAAGCATTTAACTTTTAATTTTAGAAGAAATATGTTTCATACCTTAAACATACCTATTACAGGAACTTAGACATTTACATGTCTTCACAGGTTCATCTTGGATTGTTCTCACAGTGGACAGCGAGGGCTTTGTTCCGTTAACGTTTACATCCGCGCAGGAGATAGTTGTAAGAGATGCCAGTACGAAAGGCTACAGTGCCCGTTCCTCCAAAACTTTGGACATCATCAGTTCTACAGAAGGGTGTAGACCCGCTTCTTCTGAAAGTCTGGATATCACAAGTTCTTTGGAAGTCCTCAGAGACTGCTCATCCAAGACTTTAGACAGCAGCAGTCCTTCAGAACAGCCCAGCAGTAAAATGTAATTTTTGACAGTGATTTTGCACTGCCTGTCTTATGATGGGAGACTTCTATTACTGTAAAGGTTTGCAAGTTCTAAAGAGCTGTCTCTCTCAAATCTCTGTTGGATTTCCATAATTTTTTGTTCTGGATCACTGTAAATTATTTATTAACTTTTTTTTGATACTGAGCAGTGTTTTTAAAATATGCCTCTTGCAGTGTAGAGCAGGCCTTTGTATCAGTGGTTGAAAATAGGTGTTCTTACAAGCTCCAGAGCTAAAGTTTCCATCTTGGTCTTTAATACATCAGTGTTTTCAGATGATCATAAACTTGCATAATAAACAAATACTTGAAAATGCTGCATTTTTCTGTTTCCTCCTTTGTGTCAAATCCCGAAATATTACACTGTTGTTATTCCCAAACAGCGCCTGCAGTAGTACCTGTGTTTTTGCACTGGTGTTACTAAGGGTGTAAGGACTACTTCAGGTCTATGGAGTTTGGGACAAAGTATGAGCATGTGGAATATCCATACTGGGGAGAAGCGAGACCCTTTTCCCCTCCTGTGCCCACCACTAGTGCCTCTGTGCTTGCTTCCCGGTGTGGATTTGCGGACACAGCTGTCACCTGTGTCATCTTTTGTGGGGGGTTGAGGCCAGCTGGCCCCTGAGCCCCCAGGGCTGCTTGCTCACTCCCCTGTGCAGGACAGGGGGAAGAATCCAAAGGGCAAAAGCAAGAACAACTCATGTTGAGATGAAGTCAGGTTAATAGGTAAAACAAAAGCTGTGTGGGCAAGTGAAGCACAGTAAGTTCACTCAGTCCTTCCCAGCAGCAGCTGCTAGGACAGCAGGGCTCCAACATGGGTAAAAGTTACTTTGGAAAATCAATGCCATAATCCTGAACGTCCTCCCCTTTCTCCTTCTTCCCCCCAGTTTTTATTGCTGAGCATGACATTGTATGGTAAAAAATACCCTTTTGGTCAGCGAGGGTCAGCTGTCCCAGCTGTGTCCCCTCCCAGCTTCCTCTGCACCCCCAGCCTGCTCACTGGGGCGACAGAGCAAGGACAAGAGAAAGCCGTGATGCTGTTCAAGTGCTGCTCAGCAAAAGCCAAAGCCTCGGTGTGTTACTAACTCTGTTTTGCTCACAGACCCAAAGCACTGTACAGGCTGCTATGAAGAAAACTACCTCCATCCCAGCCAGTCCCAGTTACAGCTGGACAACGTTACAGGCATGTATTTACTTTAGTCACATTTGAATAAACATTTGCTAGTTAATAGTTCTAAACATCTCTTGTCTTTATACTGAAATTTTTCTCTATTGCCTGTGAAACAATACTGTTAACAAACATTGCCTTTGCTGCATCTGTTTTAATTTCCATGGCTAATACGTGCTGAACTGGCCGAAGGGAAGTCCAATAGCCCATCACCTTAAAAACAGACAGTTTAAAGGCTGACAGAAGAAAACGTTCTATGGGATTTTGTAGTGAGAGAAAAACTCATAGAACCACTGAATGCATTTTTTCTCAGGTTTATGTCCAGAAATGCACAGCTAATGGCTTTCAAAATCTCTTGGATGAAATGTTATTAAAAATCTTATTTTCATGTATTAACTTTTTTTTTTTTTTTTTTTTTTTTACTGAAACTTCTGATGGTTCTTGATTGAAGGTAGATTTTGTTCAAATCTGCAGAAAGAAAGCCTGTGCTCTGGGTGTCTTTGAAAGATATAAAACCTTAAATGAATCTTTTTCATCTCAAGTAATAAACTTCTGTTTACAATGTCATCAAACTTTAAAAGATAAATTAACCTTCATAGGTAATAATGTGAATGCCCTTTTATCCGTCGCATCCTTTAGGTGTAAAAGCAACCACTAAAAGAACTTGCAATGTGATTTTATAAATTAACTCTTATTAAAATAAAAAGTTACAATAAAACCACTGTTTCAGTGTCACAAAAACGGATAATGGGAATTTCCTCATAAGCACATTTTCAGACATACACATTGCTATGCTGGTTGCACACTAACATGGTCATAATGTGTCATAATGTGTCTGTCGTGTAGTTAATAGTTTATTATAAAAACATCTTCTAACTACAGGCATTATCCATATGCTCCATGGAATGCATCTGGAATTTCTTTCAGCATTATCACGTTCTTCATACATAAAGAGCCAGCAGTAGCACTGGTGCTGACCGGACAACAGAGGATGATCATCCCCTTTCCAAGCAGCTTCCCAATGGAAGCCCACCGTTCAGCGGGAACCTCAGAGCCAGGGTCTCCCAGGAGGTCAGTGAGACACTTGCGTGAAGTTAAGGAGCCAATCATCATCATCACTCAGAGCTCAAACGCCCCTACTTGACATCTACACTCAGGGTAGTTCTCTGGCTGCTGGTGAGCATTAAGTTGGAGACTACATTAACGGCAGAAAAAAGCTGCCATGGGAGATTTAAGCAATAATTTGAAGCCTCAAGGGATGATGTCTTCTTTACATTGGTCAGCTGTCCTTGGGGCAGCTTTGTTGGTGGCTCTGCTGGGAGCCTCTACAAGAAATTTCTTCTCGTAGCAGGAGACTCCAGTCCTGCCTTTCTCACGGCCACTGAGCAGCCACAGAGCAGCTACAGTTAAAATGGGCAGAGCTGCACACAGGTTTTCTTTCAGTTGTAAAAATCTTTTTTGTTGTTTTCAGGAAAAAGTATCTTTTCTCAGGCATTCTAAAATTCATCTTGAATGGTTTTATTTATTTACTGCCAGCCCCTCTTATTTTTCTGTGGGTTTTTTTTTCATATTTTTGTTGCTTTCTTGTTAGCAAGAGGGAAGGAAAGGGAAGAAAGCCAAAGCCACAAAGCCCAGTGGCAACCACCACGTAGACCAGCAGATGACAAATCATTTCATCCAAAGATCCTTATTCTGTAGAAGGCAAGAACGCAACACCAAGTAAATGGCTTCTCTTTACCATGCATCAAAGACAGGAAAAAAAGCAAAAACAAAAACAAAGCTTCTTGAAGCCAAACCCTTTAAAAATGAAGTATAGCTTCTGCTGCTGCAGTCCCAACATCTTCCATTGCTTAACCCCAGTGGGAGTTTTATGCTTCGGAGCAACTCAATTCATCCTCAGCTACCAGCTGTGAGTTTTACAAATGAAACAAGTGGAGAGGAAAAGCAGAGAGGTACAGACATAAGCTTGAAAGCAAGTGGGTTTTTTTCTTCCATCTTATTTTCCATAGAATGGTTTGTGTTGGAAAGGACCTTAAAGATCATTGAGTTCCAACCCCCCGCTATGGGCAGGGACACCTCCCACTAGCCCAGGTATTTCTTCTAACATGGGCAGGTGCTGTGCTTACTTTGCCACTGCCAGCTGGCAGTGGAAAGAATCATCTTCCAGGAGTGGTCTATGCCTAACAAAAAATGGGATTGATGGAGTGAGTCTGTTGCCTCCTCTGTCCCCAGCTGGTCTCACAAGATCCAAGCTCCTCTTTCCTATTAGTCTTTATTACTTCTCTAGGGACATTTGGCTCTGAGCGGGGCCACAGGCACACTAGTGTTCACCGAGTGCCACCACTTACTACTCCAAAACTACATCCAGTTGCCATTAAATCCTGGATTAACACAGCCTGCCCTGCCATATGTCTCAGTCCTGGATTTATTGTAATTTCCCTTACTCAGGTCCACCCTGCAGGGAGCAAGTACAGTGCTGTGTGCTGGCACCCGGCGAGGACGCGGCAGGGTCTGAAAGGTGAGGGTAAAGCAAGCCTGAGCTCTGGTTCCCTTTGCAGATCTTGCATGGGTTCCTTGTGCATTACATCCTGCACTTGCATACTGGTTCTCCTCGTTTAGAGCGGGTCAATCAGGCTTGTTCCTGACCACAGACACCACGCACCCGTTACTCACAGCGCCAGGACCAAAACACATTCCTTTCTGCGCTGCGACACAGAGAAGGCTGACATCCCAGTGTGCTTTCTATCTGTGTCCTCTATCAAGCTCCTCATTATTTCAGTTGCCCAGCCAGAGTAAGAAAGAGAAGTCTGTCCTAGCTTTTATAGCATTGCTTCTGCTGACTGTCCAGCTCCTAGGAATCTTCCAGCACTGAAGTTCCACCCTGTTGTCTGCAGCGCCTGATCATTTCTTGGGTTAAGTTGCTGCTTTTTCCATTGATCTGCTTTTATATGAACAGGGGCTCAGGCAGGGAACTGGGGAGGGACAAGCTGGGTGTGCGAATATCTGGTAACCAGAAACTGTTAATGGGTTCTCTGAGCCTCCTCTGCTCTGCATGTGGCATTCCGATCTCCACACCCAACATCTTTCCACCCAAGAACGCTTTGGAGAGGACTGCAGGGTGTTTTTAGGGAGCTTGCTTGTCTTACAGCTCTTCTTTGACCTCACAGCTCTTCTTTCACCCAGGAGGTCACTTAGGGAACTCTGGAGTCACCCCTTCTCTCTGCCTGGCCAGCTCAGCACAGCTGAGACTTTGCCAGGAGCCTGGAGGTGGCTACAGCTTTGCATTCATCCCACCCTGATGTCAGCAGGGATGTCCACACACTGAGACTCACAATCCGACACACCCAGCACCGGCAGCATTGCTGAAGCTCCTGGATGTGCCAAATGTGCAGATTCTTCTCGATGACTTTGAAGATGCCCAAAGGGTGAGTTTGGTTTGGAAACACAAGGAAAATATTTCCTCATGCACTGCAGCTGATCTGGACAGAAACTTCTCAGCCAGTGTAAACCTGGTTCCATCATCATGATGACAAGCTGGTGGCCTGAGTTGGCTTTACGCAGGTAAAGAAGTCCTGTAGGTAAAACAGAGATGGAAGTCCATGACAGAGGATACTAAGGTGTGAAGGAAATCCTGTTGATCCTCTACTGAATGTAGATGATTCCACGGACATCAGCAAAGAAGCTGGCTGGGGATGGCTGCTGGGTCTCCAAAGTGTACCTCCATCTGGTGAAGCTGAGCAAGCTCCATAGGGCCTGAGCAATCCTTCCTCACCATCTACAGCAGAGTGAGGTGAGGACAGAAAGCTGAAGGGTGTAGCTGAAATTCATAGCTTTGTCTAACGTCATTCGGAACAAGAAATAGATCAGGAAATAAGATTTATTTCTGCTTCCACAGTTCCAGAGCAAACATTCACGTTTTCCTACCATCCCGCAGCACTGCTGCTCTCCAGTTAGGGCTAGAGACTGCTGCTCTGTAAATGTCTCTGAAATGATTCTGAGGACACACCTTTTCTGCAGAGTGCCACGGCTCTAGGACTGTTCTCTTTGTTCAGCTCTGCATCGTGCCAGCTTGTGCCTTCAGAGACCATAAATTCTCAGGTGCATCATAGCAAAAAGTCTCCTCTTCTGCCTTGGGAACAGAGACAC